AGTCCTCTACAGAGATAAACTTTGAATGACTCTTGAAAAACCCAGCAGTTTAAGCTGATTTAAACGAAGTGAGAAAAATGGAAACATCTTCAATCCTGCAGACCTTGACCTTTGGTGGGAATATTGGCAACAGCCCTCTTCCTGCCAGGCACACCAACTTTTATGAAAACATAGATGCTTCAATCAAATACAAGATTTCAAGGAAAAATACATGAGTCATTTTCCCATCGACTCATTCTGATGCTTCTTCAGTGCTACTTGTGTCTCTGAAGCTGGGGTGGAGGAAGCGGAGCCTAGAGGACTTCCGGTAAAGTTGGTGTCTAACTGCAGGCTCACAAAATGTCTTCAAACTTGTCTGAAATTCACAAACATGTAAAAATGACAACACACTATCAACCCTGAAAGTTGTACCCTCAACTTTCAAAGATGTCATCCAGAAGAAGAAAAACCAGATTAAATAGAAAGATGGTACTCGAAACACAATGTTCTCCTACCCCTTCAAAAGGAAGCCTAGAACCTGGATAAGGGCAAAGAGGGCATAGAGTGTTCTGTAAAAAGGGGTACCAGGCAGAAGACTGGAATACCTCACACATCCTTTGGGGATCCTTTCTTCCCTCAAGAAGCTTTCTTCCCCCCAGGCAAGAGTAGCCCATTCCTGCCTCTGACGTATCAGTAAGTGGGCACGGCTTGGGGGAGGCATCTGCTTTTCATCCAAGCCAAGAAAAGGCTCATACGACAGGAAACAACAGCTCAGCCCACAGCGTACCCTAGGTACTGTGAAGCAAACCTCTGGTGCCTTTATAAAAATTAGAGAAAGAACTCAGCCACAGCTGCCCACAGTCCCAGCTCTCCCACCACTCCTCTTAGATGAAAGACTGGATAAGATTTATAAATCATAGAGTAGGTAAAAGGATAAAATATGACCCAGTTACAATGATTCAGAGCAAATAGGAGTTACAATGAAATAGCACTAAATCCAAGAGCAAGAAAGAAAGACAGCCTACACGGAAACCAAACCCTTTTGTTGTAGAATCTAATCTGATTCCTAACAACCCTATTGTTGTTTTAAATGTTGAGTCAGTTTCAATTCTAGTGACCTTTGAACTGTAGACCTTGCAGTCAGCAATCCAGTGTTTATTCTACAGCTCCATACCAGCAACTCTTTGTTGTTGTTGTTATGTGCCGTGGAGTCGGTTCCGACTCATAATGACCCTGTACAGGGTTTCCAAGGCTGTAAATCTTTACAGGAGCAGAATGCCTTAGCTTTCTCCCACGTAGCAGTTGGTAGTTTCGAACTGCTGACCTTGTGGTTCGCAACCCAGTTCGTAACCACTGTGCTACCAGAGCAACTCTATAGGACCAAGTAAAACTGCTGCATAGGGTTTCCGAGGCTGTAAATCTTTATAGAAGCAGATTGCCGCATCTTTCTCCTGGAAAGCGGCTAGTGGGTCTAAATCACTGATTCGTTTGGTTAGCAGCCAGACACTTAATCACTGCGCTACCAGCTAAAATCGATCATTTCATTATTCATAACAACTTACTGGGAGTCTTGGTGTGGTGCTTGCAGGATAATGCACTGGACCAAAAACTAAGTTTGAACTGCAAGTTCAAACCCACTAGCTACTCCTCAGAAATCCTATACAGGGTCACTGTGAGGTGGAACCAACTCAACAGCACTTAACATGGAAAAGTTTAAAATGTGGTGAGAATCACCCAACTGTGTCCCAGAGACACAAAGTTAGCACATGCTAACTGCAGGACCACCACAAGCCCACCCCCATTTGCAGAAACACACGCGCTACAAAGCTCCACGAAGCCAAGCACGATAAATGAGGTACACCTGTAGAGTGTATTTCTGATAAGTGTGCCACCAGTTGTTGTTGTTAAGGGCTGTCAACTTGGTCCTGACTCATCGCAACCCTGTATTGGGTTTCTGAGGAGTGAGCTAGAACTGCCGACCTTGCGGTTCAAACCGACCTTGCAGTCCAGCACATTGACCCATAGTGCCACCCCAGGCACCAGTTGTTGAGTGCCATCGAGTCGATTCCAACCCATAACGACCCTGTACAGGGTTTCCAAGGAACAGCTGGTGGGCTTGAACCACTGACCTTGCAATTCAAACTGCTTTGCAGTCTGGCACATTAACCCACAGCGCCACACCAGGACTCTGCTCCAGGCACCAGTAGCAGCAGCTAAAACAGTGCTTGTGGAAGGAGACTCAGATGGGGAGGTGGGTGATGATGGTGTGTCGGGGAAGGATGGCTGGTATTGATTGATTGGGAGCCTTTTGGTACTACTTGATTTTTCAACTAAATAAAACAACACCACAGATGGAATTGTAAAGGCTGTCAAAGAAATATTCCTCAAAAAGCACTTATAAAGCTTATAAAATGTGTTTTTCAAATTACTAAGGCTCTAACTAAAAACATTTTAATAAAAAGCTCTATAAAACCCTTTTTGAAAATTGAAGATTGAGTATCTATATGAATGTGGCTGTAGGGAGTCTTAATTTCCTTCTTCTTTTGAAAAAAAAAAAAAAAGGCAACAAGATGAAACTTTAAAAATGCATTTTGTTTAAGAAATGGAATCACATACCTCCACCCTATAATTGTCTCCTGTGGGTTTTCCGAGACACTGAAAGCGAGGCCTTTATTTTAGCATTTGGGTGGAGGCGTTACAAAGCCATCTGTACACGGATGAAAGCCATTTTGACTAAAAGGGTTGCTGTACTGATATCACAGGAAATAGCGAGTTAGTGCTCATTGCCTTGTTGTCTCTATATATTTTGTTTACATACAAATTCTAGATTTCCCATTTCACTTTGATGACACATTTGCGTTTTATACGGTGGAGAGTTTCCTCTTTGGAAATCCTTTTATGAGCTCCTGATGTGTAGTATGCAAACAGACTCTCTTTACTGTGCGGAAGGCTGGAACAGGAAGACAAGGCCTGTGCTTACTGCCATTTTCAGAGACTGCATGTAGACTGACCTGAAATGAATACATGGTGTCACTGCGCTGGTTCTCCTGAGAGAGATTGGTGGGCACAGTCAGCGAATTAAGAAGAAATCAAAGAAACCCCCCGAGAGAGTCGGGAGAGTACATCTTGTGGACTTTGAACCAACGAAAGGTTGAAAATCCTGGTGCTGAAAGACCTGGGACTAGGAGGGAAAGTGACAGAATCCGCCTAAGAAGTAGTAAGGTTATTTAAGTAGCAACCTTAAATATCAGCTGGAATATGGGGTGCAGGGGTGCACATGGCAATTGGAATCCTTAATCGGAATAGTTGGGTGTCTTGACGACTGGGCTAGCAGAAAGGAAAGCTCTGTCTTGGGAATATCTGTGGAAGAATGAATGAATTTGGTGGTGGAGAAGGTATACCCAGGAAAACCAGTGATGAACTGAAAATGACGCTAAAATTGTTTTTGCTTGTGAAACGGACACATACCTAGACAAAGGAGCCTGAAAAAGACATAAACCGCTCAGATCTCACCAGATTAAGCTGACTTTGAGGTTATTTCTGTTCTATCTGACTGATTTCTGAGCACTGAAGTGATGAAAGCATTTTGTTTTGTTTTAAATAAAGGTTCATATGATATGTTATCCTTTCCCCAGTTATACATCTAAATTCTTAGACGCTTACATAGTGCTTGGGGCAAGTGGATAGACACACAGGCTGTGTATCAATCATTTTGTAGATCTAAAGTGGCATTAGAAATCCTGGTGTGACGCTCTAGGATCAGCAGGTTGGTGGTTCAAATCCACCAGCTGCTGGAAACCATATATAGGGTCGCTGTGAGTCAGAACTGTCTCAGCAGCACTTAAGAACAACCAAGTGACATTACAGTAGGGGTTAGTGTGTGATCTATGTAAAATTGGGTTTCACAGAAGAACTACAGACGTTGAGGGCATTTAGTTCCAACTCATCTGCTGCTTTTCAACTCTCTGAAAATATTTACTCAAGGTATTTACATTCTGACAGTCTTCTTTTCATCATAGTAAAAGTTAAAGTAGGACTCTGCTTCAAACTCAGCATACATGCCAGTGCAGAATAACAGCCCGACAACTGCACAAAACTAAGGCAAAAATGGTGGCAGCAGCCCTTCCTTCCACAGCACTTGCTTCTCCACTGGGTTCATCACAGTGTCCACACAGAACTCAGACACCATACTCAAACTTAGGAGCTTTATTAGGGTTACAAGTCTGGGTGGGAAATGCTCACGGCACAGTTTCTTCCATCTGAGCAGTCTTTCCTCAGCGGTTCTCACCATCAGGCCTCTCTCTTTCCCCGGGGAGATTTCTACGCTCATGGAACATACCATTCCACCATAAGCCTCAGCCCGAAAGCACTCAGCTCTGGCTGCCTGCGTCAGCAAACCTAGCTCCCCAATTAAGTGCCTGGAGGCAGGCACCCCACTCTACAAATGAGCCTCCTGCCCAAGGCACTAGGCTTTACCTGCTCCATGTGCCAACAAGCCCAGCACTATATCTTGTGCTCTGGCACTTGTTTCTTCTGCTGCTCCTCTGCCTCTCTAATGTCATAGCTCTCTGTCCCTGGGTCAAGGAGGTTCAATGCAAAAAAATCTCAGGGTCCCAGGGACAAGCTTCACGCCTGGCTTTTCTTCTCTGATGATAGTGAGATTCTCCTGCCCACTTCTGAGATGGCTCATGTTATACCCGTGATAGAGTGCCCAGTTTTTACAATGACGATGAACTCTGTTAATGTCCACAGCTGTCAGTTATCTTCTCCCACCTTTCCAGACCCATCAAGGAAAGAGTCATTTGGTGAGAGTTTCAAAGAACAGATTTAATAATTCACTACACCACAACCGCCATTGGCTCTGAGCACCATCTGTTGGTAGCAGGCAGAATTAGCATGCTTTGGCTCTGGCTAATTTTGACACATGACAGATTCCCCAGTTAAGTTTTTAAGTTGAGGACAAAATCATCTACCTCTTGGCCAATTAGTAACATTTTTCTTTTTCTTTCTCAATTGTGAAGGTGTGGCGGGGCACCCTGGCCCGCATGCGGTACAAGAGGACCAAGGCAGCGCTGACTATAATCAAGTACTATCGGCGCTACAAAGTCAAGTCATACATCCGTGAGGTGGCCAAGCGCTTTCACGGTGTCAAGACCATGAAAGACTACGGGAAGCACGTGAAATGGCCCACCCCTCCTAAAGTTCTTAGCCGTTTTGAGGAGGCCCTGCAAGCGATTTTCAATAGGTAAGAAATATGTTAGTATGTGTTGCATCCATGTCTGGCAGCACACTGAATTTACAAGGGGGCTTCAAAAAATTCATGGAAAAATTCCATTATCTTTTCCATTCCATTTGTCTGTGAACTTTTTGAAAGTCACAAGTCTGAAACCACAATATTGTCTCAACTCTTTGCTGTTGTGACATTTACTTTCACCTTACACCTCCAGTTTTATAGATTTTTGCTTTCAAAGGGCATCTGTTTGCTTTCCAAAATAATGGAACTGTCGGTTTGTTTTCCCTGTAGCAGTTGACAGCAGGTTTCACAACCCCTGAATTCAAGCTGTATTTAAGATAAGCTACTAGCTTGCTTTCTCTGCTTATTTTATTAACAAAAAGATATATTGTTTATTTAAATTGCCACACTTAAACTAGAAAATCAGCTGACGTATTTAGGGCAGTGTCTCTCAATCCTGACTATACCATTCGTCAGAAGGAGCATATAAAACAGCCTGGTGCCCAGACTCTACCTCCAAGAGATTCCTATTCAATTCAGCTGGGCTCAGGCCTAGGCTGAGGCGCTTTTTAAAGTTTTCCAGATGAGTGATTGTAAATTGCAGCCTAGAGTGAAAACAACTGTTTAAGGGCAAGTTTAAAAAAAAATTGTAAGCAAGCTATTTTTAAAATAAATAATGCCCATAAAAATGTGGTGGTACCTTTCCAACTGATCTTCATTTTTTAATAACCCACCTGGGGGAGCCCTGGTGTGGCGCTGTAGTTTAATGCACTGGACTGCAAAGTCGTTTGAGCCATGAGGTCGGTGGTTCAAGCTCACCAGTTGCTCCTATACAGGGTGACTATGGGTCAGAACCGACTCAATGGCACTTAACAACAACAACCCTGAATATGAGTTTGTGGTTATTCTGATGACTTTTCCACTGATTTTTTGTGCTTACTTGTGTCCAATATGCACCTAATAAAGGAACCCTGGTGGTGCAGCTGTTAAGCACTTGGCTACTAACCAAAAGGTCAGCTTTTCAAACTCACCAGCCATTCTTAGGAAGAAAGGTGAGGCAGCCTACTTCTGTAAAGATTCACAGCCATGGACACCCAGTGGAGCAGTGTTGCACGGTCCTAGAAGGCCACTATGAACTGGAATCATCTCAACGGCAGTGAGCTATGGGGTATACACCAGATGGCTTTGGCACCATCTTAGAAACTCACTAGTCACCTGAAGTGAGTTAGTGGTTTTCAGATGTGGCCATTTGGTGTCATGATCTTCTACAAAGCACACCATGAAGTAGCTGAGATACTGAGTGTAAAATAATTGATTAGTAATTCTGTGCTAAACCAGATTTTTACTTCTATTAGATTTTACTTTTTGTAATCAAAGAATTAAGCACAATACTTGAGAGGAAAACTCTTTAAATTTGTATATCATTTGATTTTTTTTTTTTTAAAGTGATTGTGAAAAAAGAAAAGAAAAAAGAGGAAATCAAATAATACAGAATTTTTGAAAGCAAAAGTACCTCAGTTGTCTCACACGTTAGTTGTCTCTTAGTTGTAAATCATGGCCAGCCTTGTTAATGCAGGTATCAATTATTTTCATGCATGCTATCATATTTACAAGGAGCTGTGGTAGCATAGTGGTTACAAATCAGGCTGTGAACTACAAGGTCATCAGTTTGAAACTACCAGCTGCTCCGCAGAGGCGTTCTGCTCCCGTAAAGATTTACAGCCTTGGAAACCCTGTTCAGGGTTCATTATGGGTAGGAACTGACTCAACAGCACTTAACATCATATTTACATACACTTTGGGTCATAATTTCAAAATAGTTCTTTATATGAATATGTGCTTTTTTTTTTTTAAGTAAAATAATGTGAAAACATGTTGTGGCGACTGTAGGATAAGCACTGGACCAAAAGTTCGGTTTGAACTGCAAGGCCAGCAGTTCAGACTCACCAGACGCTCCTCAGATCCTCAGAGACCCTATACAGGGTCACTATGAATCGGAACCAACTCAACAGCACTTAAACAAAGCTGAAATCCTTCACACATCTTCTTGGTTCTCCCCCATGTTATGTTTTTCCCTTGAGAGAACCACTCACTAATAATTATTTTCTGTGCCTTTACAAACACGTGCATACAATAAGAGACAGCATGGTATAGGGTCTAAGAACTTAAACCCTGGTTTCATCCTCCAGCTCTGTCACCAACTAGCTGTGTTGTTATGTGCTGTGGAGTCAGTTCCGACTCATATCAACCCTCTATAGGGTTTCTGAGCCTATAAATCTTTGTGGGAGCAGAAAGCCCCATGTTTCTCCCACGGAGCAGCTGGTGGGTTTGAGTTGCTGACCTTGTGGTTCATAGTCTGTAAACCTGAGCAAATTTAGTCTCTCGGTGCCTCAGTTTTCTCATCTGTAAAAGAACCTTAACAATCATAGGGTTGTTGAAAACATTTTGAGTGAATATACATAAAGCATCTCTGTAGAATCAGCACTGGACTGTGAACCACAAAGTCAGTGGTTTGAGCCCACCACCACTCCGCAGGAAAAAAATGATACTTTCTGTACTGCAAAGATGTACAACCTCTGAAACCCTATACAGGGTCACTAAGAGTTGGAATCGACTCCATGACACTTTAACAGTAGCATCATGCCTGACATATAGTAGTAAGCATTATGGAGATGTTCGAGTCCTGGTGTGGCGCTGTTGGATAAAGCACTAGACCGCAAGGTCAGTTTGAATCACAAGGTCGGCAGTTCAAACTCACCAGTCGCTCCTTGGAAGCTCTATACAGGGTCATTATGAGTCGTAACTGACTCGACAACACTTAGCAACAATAGAGATATTTGCTCATAATTTTGAGTAACATGCATACACCTATTATCTGGGCATTATCCCCTGTTTTTTAACAGAATCAAAATTGCACTACCTATATAGTTATATTACTTAAAAGTATGTCTTGGAGACATATCCATGACAATAAATAATAATTACCTAATAGTTTTATGGCTGCAAATAGTTGTTATTCATTTCAGTTATGTTGTACTGTGGCCTGTACACTTTTTTTTTTTAGATTTTGAGGTTTTCTTGGCCTAGACTTGATGAATTTTTGTAGCATTCTACTTGTTCATCAAGTGTTTACTTAACGCCTGCTGTGCTGTGGGCTCTGACCACCTTCCAGAGACACAATGGCGAAAACACATGCAGAAGACAGTCCCCACCATCCATCCCAGGACTTGGAGTCACTGAGCATTTGAAAACAGTTCATCTGCTCTTTGTTGACTGAACGCGCACGTTCACACTTATACGGTTTCTCTCTCTCTCTCTCTGTCTCAATGAGTCTTGCCAGCTGTGACCATCTAGTCTAGGGGTTGGCACACTTTCCTGCAAATGGCCAGAGAATGAGTATTTTAGGTTTATGAGCTACATATAGTCACATAATTCTTGTTTTGAGTTTTTTTTTTACAACCCTTTAAAAATGTAAAAACCGTGATTAGCTCACAGGCAGTACAAAAACAGGCCACAGGCCAGATTGGGTTCAAGCTGTGGTTATCAAATGCTGATCTAGTTTCTATATCCTATTTATTGATTTGGAAACTTTTTATTTTGAATTAAATGCAGGTTTACAGAGCAGAGCATCAGTTTGATATTCACCAAATCGTTTACTCTGCTTCATTATCTGGTTGCAATCCCCTTCACGTACCAACCGTTAACAGAATCGATCGTATTCTTTTTTTTTTTTTTTCCCCCCCATCTGAGGAATTCTGAGAGAGGTGTGTTAAAGCATCCCATTCTGGCTACAGGGGTTTTCTTTTTGTTTTGAATGTTTATGTGTCTAATGTCTAGTCATGTTAAAGCCTGTTCCGCACCATAAGTCTTCTTCATTGGGAACCTTCTTCATGCCCAGTTTTGTACCCCTTTCCAGGTGAATGGTAGTTGGTGATGTTTATGGCTGCAGCTGTGGTTGTCTGCTCTACGTATTTATAGACAGCAGTTTGCTTGATTCATATGAGACGTCTGTGTGGCTCTCATGTGTAGGTCAGGTCCCAATTCCCTGGCCCACCTCAGAGGTGGACCTTGTCCTCAGCCACTGATGACCCAGCATATAGTCCAGGAACTGACTGACCAGCAGACAGAGGAGGGAACCCCACAGAAGAATAAAATTGGGGGCTGAAGAGTTAAATGGTGACAGTGTTGCAAAGCCTAACTATCTCCAGTGTCCTTTCCCAGCCTCGCCTGGGATGATCTCAGGGCAGCGTGATGCAATGAAGTGTTGGTTGGTTGCCCATAGAAAGTAGAAAAGCGGATTTTACTGTTATGCTGAGCTTTATTTTCCCATGATTGTAGTTCTGGCAGCCCACTAGTTCTGACCGTATCTGTGATAATGACTGTTCCCATCTCACTGAATGGAGCAGACCACAGCTAACCTTCCATGTGCAAGGACCTGGCACAACTCCCACACTGAAATCCTTCACATCCTGCCCTTGCTAACAATCCCTGATTTTTTTCAGGCTTCTGGAGCCTCTGGGCTTTGTTGAAAAATCCATCTGTCTTAGGCTGGATTCTCTAGAGAAGTAAAACTTACATGTGTATATCTATAAAGAGAAGTTTGTATCAAGGAAACGGCTCACAATTGTAGAAATAGGAAGAGTCCCAAGTCTGGGTCAGATGAACCAAGATCAGCAGGCAGGCAGGAAAGAGGCAGGTCAAGCAGGTAAGAAGGCAGGCTACTAATGGCTCCCAGGATCAACAAGTAATAGAGAAAGCCAGTGGCTTAAGTCCAAAGAACGAGAGGTCAGAGGACCAGCCAGATACAAGATCCAGACCCAGCAGAAAGTAAACAAACTTTGCCTGAGTGTCTACTAAACTGGAAGCAGGGCACACCCCCATGAACACATCCTTTCAGTTGATTGGCTGCTCATAGCAGACTTCATCATAGAGTTAATTGCATTGTATTACATCTCATTATAGGGATAGCTACATCACAGCTGCCAAACCACTGAGAACCCTGACCTCAGACAGGTTGACACAAAATCTTTAACTATCACACCATATAAGCTGCAGCGCTTCCTCTCATTCACCCAGGTGAATCGCTCAGCACATTCCATCGGTTTCATGCCTTCCAGAAAGTCTCCACACTTTCCAGTGTATTGACAGTGTATAATTTCCTTTTTTTTCCTGTGCTGTTATGGGTTTTCCCTATTTCTGTATTTATTGGAAGAGAGAAAAGCAGACATTTGGGCTCAAGTCACCATCTGAAACAAGAAGGCATCTCAGGAATACCTCAGATGACAAGATCTCTTTTTGTGTATGTGAATTAAGAAAAGATGACCCCTTTTCGATGTTAGTTGAATCTCTTTCCAGAGTTCCATGGGAGCATAGTTTGAGAACCACTAGCCTGGATTATTCCATCTGATTATAAGGAAGTTCTCTGTTTGCTTCTGGCATCCCAGCTCATACTCCTGTGCCAGAAAAGATGTTGCACTTATCACATTGAGTTAGGATGCCTGCACCTGTTTTTCTCCCTCAGGTTATTTTCTCTTTGTACCTCCAGTTGCCTAGGTCATGAAACCTTGGAGTCATCCTGAAGTCCTCACTGATTCTCTTGCCCCACATCTAATTCTTCAGCAAGCCCTATTGGCTCTTTCTTCAAAATATATCCAGAACTAGGACTGATCTCTGCAGCTACCTCCCTATTCCAAGCTACCATCTTCCTCCATGTACATTGTGGAAAGTGCTTCTTGCCCATCTCTCTATTCCCATCCTAGCCTCTCTCTTTCAGTGTGTTCCTCATACAGCAAACACAGTGAGTGATCCTTTTCAAGCACAAGTCACGTCATGCCTTGCCTTTGTTCAGGACCTTCCAGTGGCTTTCTTTCTCACTCAGAGTAGTAATCATGGCCTCCATGTTCTATGGATTCCGGCATCTCCTCCAGTCTCTCTCCCCCTTGCTCATCTCACTCCAGCTTCACAAGACTCCTTGCTGATCCTAACTCACCTAACACGCTCACACTTTTATGTCCGTAGGCTTCTGTGCTTGCCTGTTCTCTTCCTGGAATACTCGTACCTTGATATCTGTGTAACGGGCTCCCTCCTTTCCGCTAGGTCTCTGTTCAGACCACATTGTCTCAGTAACTCCTACTCTCCATTCCACCCCTCTGCTGCACTGCCTGTCTCCCTGTCCTGACCTTGTTTTCCTCCATGGCACTTAGCACCATCATTTGCACTGTGTATTTACTCCTGAGTTTGTCTGTGATCTGCCTCCCCTTTCTAGAATACAAGTACCAAGCAGATAGTGCCATTGTCAGGTACCTTCACGTCTGTAACTCCACTGCCTAGATCAGTGCCCAGAGTGGAGTAGGTACTCAGAACACACTTGTTGAATGGATGAATCCAAAGTTCCTGTGCCCTAAATATAACTGTTCTCAGAGCTCATGGATCATTCTGTTCAAACTCTTTTCAAAACACACAAGCAATCAAAAACAAGTTTTACAAAGATATCTGTCCATAAAAAGTATGTTTGTCTTAACACGTTCTGTATATATTTTGGAATCCATTTACATTTTATAGGATAGGCATGGAAGTGCTTTGGTTTCATTTTACTTACTAGCAGCTTTAGTTATTTTCAAGAATGACTAGGATTGTGTTTCAAAAGTCTGATACATGCTGTTTATTGACTTGTAGATGGAGGGCATCTCTGCTCATCAAGAGTATCCCTGCTACAGACCTGCCCCAGGTCAGGGCAAAGGTCGCAGCCATGGAAATGCTGAAGGGACAGAGGGCTGATCTTGGGCTCCAGAGAGCCTGGGAGGGCAACTATCTTGCTTCGGTAAGTCCAAGGAAATAGCATGGGATCTAGCCCTTCTTCATTTACAAAGGAAGAACAAACTTTTCTTGCAGAGTTGGTAGAAAGAATAAAACAGCTTCAGGAACTGAAGAATTTCTGTGAGAGATTTTAAATTAAAGGTTTTATTGCATCTAAGAGTCCTGGTGTGGCACTGTGGGTTAATGCGCTGGACTGAAAAGTCAGTAAGAACTGCAAGGTCTGTGGTTCAGGCTCACCAACCGCTCCTCTGAAACCCTAATACAGCATCGCTCTGGATTGGAATTGACTAGACTGCACTTAACAACCAAGTGTACGTTATTGGATGTTTTCCCATCACTCATACCCCACCTTTAAAAGAAAGGATTCTCTGTGTTCTATTAGGTACACTCTGCTTAAATCTTCCCTTGGATAACTCAGCAACTGTTTTAATTAACTACTTTTATATTGATTAATTCCTAGGTTACGTTTCATCCTTTTTCCCCATTTCCTAGTTTAAAAACTTGAGCAGCCCTGTGGTGTTATACCAAGCCATTAGTCATTTGCCATCTGGGCTGGGGCGATGTAAACTACATGTGCTGGACTAGATGCGTGTACTTATAAAACCGTGTACTGAAAGACTGCCTTTTCATCTCAAATGCTAGGCATACTCATTTGATCACATTTCCTTTTTTTTCTTCCAGAAGCCAGATACACCACAAACCTCAGGCACTTTTGTCCCTGTTGCTAATGAACTGAAACGAAAGGACAAATACATGAACATCCTCTTTTCCTGTCATGTTCGTAAGGTAGGACAAGCTTGAGGCAGACTGCCTTGGAAAGAAAAGACGTATTCAGATGAAACTCACTTAAGAATGCGTGCAATGAAACAATAACAATATGAAGGGGTTTTACAACTTTTGTATAAAAATGGAATTGAATGATAGAATTCTCTCAGTGAAGTCCCCTCGTAAGTAACTAACTCTCTCTGTCATCAGTCTGTTGTGATACCTAATTGGAATGAATAAAGGGACATTTACAATTAGACTATATAGTCCTCCTGAAGGAAGTGAGTATTTTTGGTAACTATTTTTAAAAGGAGGTACATAATTTGGAAAAGAGGAAAATGGCATACTGAGATTTGAGGTAAGAGTAAAGTTATGCAGTCTGACTCAATGTGCTTGTCTGAGCAGAACATATGGATTCCGATTTACCTGGAGATAGGAGCAGTTGGGCAAATGGATGAGGAGACATAGTCTGCTTTAAAAAAAACAAACAAAACAGTAATGACTTAATGCACATAATTAGAAAAAAGAGGAAATTGAAGTCATTATACAAGAACATTTTGTTTAAATTATGCAAATAAATATTAAAATTGTAATGAAATAGAAGATGTTGTTCTTAAGTGCCATCAAGTTGATTCCAACCCATAGCCACCCTGTATAGGGTTTCCAAGGAGCAGCTGGTGAGCTTGAACTACTGACCTTGCAGTTCAAACGTCTTTGCAGTCTGACGCATTAACCCACAGCACCACACCAAATATGTTGATACAAATAATTAAGATTGGAGCAGAAATTAATGAAAAAGAACAGAGAAAAATCAAAGAAACTAAAAGTTGGTTCTTTGGAAAACCTTTAGCTAGAGTAATTGAATATCATAGAAAAAAGGTAAGGTTACATTTCTTCTGTGTGTTGTATTGCTAGGTACCATCAAGTCACTTCTGACTCAAAGCCTGGCGTCTCTGAGTATCTTTCTAGTAAAAGGAGTCCTGGTGTGGGTGGGTTAATGCGCCAGACTGCAAAGCCATTTGAACTGCAAGGTTGGCGGTTCAAGCTCACCAGCGTCTCCTTGGAAACCCTATACAGGGTCACTATGGGTCAGAACCGACTCAACGGCACTTAACAACAATGGTAGTTTTATATCTGACATGTTTCTCCCTGGATCCTGCTGGATAAAAACAGAAAAATTCCTATTTATATGCCTGTATTTCTAAGTTTACTGAAAAATCATTTTTCTTCACAATGTCTTCTTTAGAAACCTTTGAATCCCATGGATAAACTAAAGGAAACTGGGTCTGCTGCTCTAGTGATTTCTGAAGCTTTCGCTTTCCATTAGCCCCAGTTATAAAATGTCCCTGAAGGTGGCCAACTTCTGCAAATAACTACTCTCACCATTATGTCTTCTTTCCTGGATTACCTCTCTCGGGAAACTTGATCTCTGGTCCCCTGTGGTACTAACTGAACCATAAAAACATCACTAGAAAAAATAAAAATAAAAAATCACTAGACCCATTCAGGCAAAAGCAAAATAGGCATTTTTTATTTGGTTGAGGACTTTTAGCATTGGCTAATAGAAGAGACAACATGAGCTATTTTCCAGTACTGAGTCTATGATTCCATGTTTCTATTACTTTATGAATTCACATGGAAAAAAGATGTCTCTTCCTGTGCTATGGTTATTTTAATTAACTAGAATTCAGGCATTTACATATGCATGTTGAATTATTTTTATTTGCCATTTTGAGTTGAGTTATGCAACTTAAATCTTTTACTTTATTACATGATGTCCTTCCCACTCACTTGATTCATGTTTTAAGGATAATTTTAAGTTGCTGAGACAGAAGGTAAAGATTTCTGATATATTCTCTTTAGAAATTAGATTGTTGCATTTAAAAAAAAAAAAGAAAAAAGACAAAAAGAAAGTACTGTTTCTAAGCACAACTTCAATAAAACTGCTACTTGGAGGGTTTTTTTTGTTTTCCAGATTTATTCACGGGTATTATAAAAAGAACTATACTGTCTACCTTAACCACTGTGGTCTGCTGGTTTTGATCTGGAGTGACCTTGTGAAATTTTGCAACAGTGTGTTTTGTAGTCATATTTTCTTGCAGCACATTCATACGTGTCTCAGTACAATTCCACAGAAGAGGAGGAGCACCACTTTTATTGAACGTTCAGTTTCACATGTTCTCTATTCTAACATCAATAGAAATGTAATTCCAGTTTTCCAGCACGGACTTCACAGAACCAGTGTTCTGTTGAGTATTAGTAGGTGATTGTTGGGAAAATACATTATGAAATGTATCAAGAAAATGCTGTATTAAAGAGTTAAAACCCAAAAAGCAAACCCACTGCCCTCAGACCAATTCTGACTTATAGTGACCGTACAGAAAGACGGCAGGAGAATTGTTACACAGTTTCTGAGGCCGCAAAGTTTGGTGGGAGTCGACTGTTCCCTCTTTCTCCTAGGAGCAGCTGGTGGGTTTGAACTGTTGACCTTTCGATTAGAGGCCTAACACTTACCCCACTGTGCCACCAGGGATCCTTAAGCAGTTAAACTTCTCCTTCAGTGCAGGATTCCCACACCCTTGGTTATGAATAGAGGCTCTGGTTTGTAGCATTTCTCACACCAACTTGACTACAGAACCCTGCCTTTGCCTGAGCATCACAAAAGGCTGGTGTGCAGGAGAACTAGGACAGTGCTGCTGTACAAGTTCGACATTCACCTTATTTCAAGTGTTCCGACAAGTGCCTATCCACTCTTCTGGCAAAACGTTGTTTTATAAAGTCACCCACCAAGAGAAGTAATTATTTTTACCATATAGATCCTATTTTACTCTTAATTACAGACACCATTTTTATCAAATCAGAGATTGAAAAATAAAACTTTTTTTGTTGCAAAAGAAATGTTTAGGGATTTAACCGATTTATTTGAAAGATGAGGGAAAAGGAAGACGACGAAATAAAATTCTAACTAAACTTTGGGAAGCTCTGTATACTGCCAGCCACCACTAGACTAGTCTGTCAGTCTGCCATACTCTGGTGGCTTGCCTGTTGCTGAGAAGCTACCAGCTTCCCTCCGGTATTTCAAATACCAGCAGGGCTACCCATGGTGGACTTGTCTCAGCAGAGTCTCCAGACTAACAGTCCAGAAAGAAGAGGAGGCGGGCCACTTCTGAACAATGGTGAGCCGCAGAAAACATTATGAATAGCCATGGAATGTAGTCAGATACAGTGCGGGAAGATGAAGGAACTCAGCGTGGGAGGCACTCAAAAGACAGCTGGGGAAGAGCTACCTCCTCATCTCAAAGAGCTGATTTTAATGATACTGAATGGAGCAAAGCTTTCAGGTCTCTGATTTGCTGATGAGGCCCAACTCAAAATGAGCAGTAACAGCTGAAAACATACACTAATAATTAGACCATGGAGTGTATGAGGTATGCATCTAGGAAAATTAGAAGTTGTTGAAAATTAATGCATAAGCATCGGTACCCTAGCATTCGTGAATTGCAATGGAATAGTATTAGCTATTTTGAATTAGAGAATCATATAGTGACTGTGCCAGGTATAACAAACTGAAGAGTAATGGCATCACATTCATAGTCAAAAAGGCCATTTCAAGACCTGTTTTGCAGCACAATCCTGTCTGTGATAGGGTACTATCCATACACCACTAAGGGAGACAGTCATTACAACTACTGTTCAATTCACAAACCAACCACTAAAGCCAATGAGGAAGAAATTTAAGAATTGTACCAACGTCTTCAGTCTGAGATTGATCAAACATGCACTCAAGATGCAGTGATAATTACTGGAGATTGGAATGCAAAAATTAGGAGACAAACAGGAAGGCTCGGTAGTTAGAAAAAACGGCACCAACCATCCCATCCACAGCACTCGCCACTTCTCCTCAGGATTTGATAATACAGGGGCCACCCAAGCTCCGACAGCGTACTCACAGTTAGGGGGTTCATTCTGGAAGTTAACAGGTTACAACGAACGGACGGACGGACGCAGGATCAGAAAATGCTCAGGATGCACTTTTTCCAGTCAGGACACCTTCTCCTCATCCATGCCAATGGGCAGGCTTTCTTTGGGCGACGTTACATAGTTCTTTTAGGGCTGCTGATTAATGCCCATAGGACACACTACTCCACCATAAGCCTCAGCCTAAAGGCACTTGGCTTTAGCTCCATGGGATAGCAAACCTGGCTCCCCAGTTAAGCTCCTGGAGGCACCCACTCTGCAGGCAAGCCTGCTCAGTCACTCAGCTTTACTTGTTCCATGGGCTGAGAAGGCTGCCGCTTCTGTCTCATGCTGTGGCTTTTGGTTCTGTTGTCGCTGCTCCCCCATTCCCATATCACAGCTTTCTGTACCTGGGTGGAAAGGAGGTTCACTGCTGGCTCCTTACTGAAGGCTTCCTCACCATCTCCTCGAGCTTCTGAGCTGCCTCATTTCAAATTTAAATTAGAAGGTTTTACAATCACAATTGACTCTGCTAACCACTCACAACTGAATCATATTATCCTATCAGCATCCCACTCTCTTACCCAGACCCAGCAGTGGAAAATGTTTGATGGGAGTCACAGACTATGGCTAGAAGAGACATTAAATAATTCACTACACCAGAGTGGCCTTGGTGATAGAAATGATGCTGGAGATCACATGACAGAATTTTGCAAACCAACTGCTTATTCACTGCTAATACCTTTGTCAACAACTTAAAGGTACCTCTACATGTAGACTTCACCAGATGGAATCAAATTGACTACATCTGTGCGAAGAGATGACCCAGCACTCCATACCTTCAGCCAAAACAAGGCCAGGGTGACTGTGAAACAGACCATCAGTTGCTCATAATGCTCATAAGGTTAAGTTGAAAACATTCAATCAAGTCCATAAAAGCCACAATACACCCTTGAATCCATCCCACCTGAATTTAGAGATCACTTCAAGAACAGATGTAACGCCTTGAATAATAATGACTGAAGATGAGAGGAGTTGTAGGATGACATCAATAACATCAGACA